ATGTAGGTGATTATGATTCTCCACATATTTTTTCTGATAATTCATCAAATAATTTTCTGTTCTTATTAAACAATGGTCTGTGAGATAATGTTTAATTTATTTATCATTGAAAAGACTTAATTAAATGATAAAGTATTTCATATACCAGTATATAAACCAATTTAAGTATAAGAAAGTAAAAAAAGATGAGAGAAATAATATAAAACAAAAAGAATATTAGTCTGAGTGCTACAGTCTGCTGGAAATGGTGCTGCTTTATTTTGGTTAGAAGCTGGTTAACTAACTTGGCATATAAAGGCTTAAATGAGAATTTTAGAGGCCAATTTATACATTTTTATATATAATTGTTCACAGGATATCTATTTTCATTCTGTACATGATTTTGTTCACTGAGAAAAATGTTTGTGCTAACTCTGCAGATGACTCCATTCACCAAACAATAGGGTGTTTGAATTTTTTGCTTGTATTGTCATATCCTGCTAAGGTAACAGAAAATGACATTGACAGAAATTGATAACAGTGTTATTGCAATTGAGAAGCCTTGAAAAAGAATGCAGTGGAAAGGGTATAAGCACTGGGGTATCGTAAAACCAACCTTTTTGGTTCAACACTTCTCAAACTTTCACTATCTATAAGAAATCTAGATACCATTTAGCTCTTATGTTATCAAGAGGAATGTACTAATGTCATAAGGAATGTGCTCTTATCACATGTGATGGTCTGATAACAGAAGTAAAGTCAATTCATGGAGAAGAATTGTTTGGAAATAAATTAATATTTATGATGCAAGTTTGAGTGTTTTGCCTTAATTACATTATGGATATCCACATAGATGATTTGATTCTAGTTCTGAAGACTTGTGTACAATGAGCCACAATTTTCAGAGGAAATAATAACAGAGAAATGATGAACAGTGTGCCACAAAATCTACAAAGAGTTCTTCTGAGTGTTTTCCTTCTCCTAATGCTCTTGGAAAAGGCATGAATCCATCTTTTCTCTTGTCCTCCTCAGCTATTGATTAGATTGCCAAGTAGTCTGGGTTTTCGAACCTTGGGTCATACACAGTTTTGGGAAAGGACAATGTTAATTTCAAAACTCTGGAGGACACAGATAAACCATTCCACTATCCCAAGAGGTCAGGGCAATTTATAGTTAAAAAAGAAAAGAAACTGTAGAGAGATATGACTGCTTATGTCCTGAAAAGACATGGTATTTTAAAAAAAATAAAAGGCAAATACTTTCTCATGCTAAGAGTTAATATTCATACATTCTGATCTGTTAAATGTTAGCATTCATACCTTCTATGTTGGCTCAGAGTTAGCGTTCATACCTTCTATGTAGACTCAGAGTTAGCGTTCATACATTCTATGTAGGCTCAGAGTTAGCGTTCATACCTTCTATGTAGGCTCAGAGTTAGCGTTCATACCTTCTCTGTAGGCTCAGAGTTAGCGTTCATACCTTCTTTGTAGGCTCAGAGTTAGCGTTCATACCTTCTATGTAGGCTCAGAGTTAGCATTTCTATACTTTATCATGCTAGCCATTAATTGGCAAAGAAAAATTATTACATGTTTTAAAAAAATCTTGTGTGTAATATAATCCAGTTATAAAAAAAAGAATAAAGTTTATTATTAGTTATGAGAGAGAGGGATAAAGGATGTTGTCTTTGGTTAAAGGTGGAAAGAATAAATATGTGAAAAAGCTTTAAGTTGGTTGGAAGTAACTTGAAAAAAAAATAACCATAGAAAAGCTCTCCTCTCTATTATTGTACCTTGAACTGCCAAGAGAGTTGAGGTACTTGTTAATTCTTGAAATGTCTCTGCTTGCTTCAAAACATCTCTACATTAGTTGATATATTATGGGTCCCTCCTTCTCACCTTTCTTGCATGCCACTTGAAATATTTCTTCCTGCTAACAGACATACTGGTATATTTATCTGCAGCAGGCTGTAAGGTTTAGCCAAAAGTTTTTGCATTTTCATGACAAATTCTTTTACTCATATAAATTCATAGCATTGTTATTCTGTCATGAAAATATTGTCCCTACCTTTCTGATGCCACCTTTCAGCGCAGTTATATTTTCTAACAGTAAAAGAACAATTCTACTTTTGATTCAATGAATTCTTTGAGGAAATTTTCAATAACTGTAAAGCATAGATTTCTCTAGCAGGTAACATTATTACAATAGAATATTGTGTTCAGTTGACACAGGATTAATAAAAAAGAATGGTCCATTGTATCTAACTACGGGTTAGACTATAAACAAACCAGAAAAGTTTCTGAGACAACAAAATCCAGTCCATTTATAGAATGTAATGAAAGTGAAAAAGTCCCTTTGTAGAGGTGCAGTGGACAGGTGCCATAATTCAGCCAATAGAATGTTTGTACCCGTAACCTGAAAAGGAATATTGCTAGGAGCAAAACAAGTGAAAATTTTATAAGCATAATCTATATAAAGTAAGTTTATATCTATACTGTTGGTCTTCAATCTGCAGTGGGAATGACTAAAAACATCCCCCTCCCCAAATTTATAGACAAATCATACAGATGCATATTGGGATTTCTTCCGAGCCAGTAAATTAGGCCACTTCTCGATCTCATCCACCATATTTTTTGTTTAGAATATAGGGGATAATAGCTCTCCACAGCTTTCTTACCTTCATCTATGGATTGTCATAACATCTTAGGAAAGAGAGTAGAGTGGTTTCTTTTTTTTTTCTCCATGGTTTGAAATTCAGTTTTTTCTTTTCTCAGACTGGTGGCCAACCAAGCCTCAAGAACCCAGTCTACCCTGCTATTTAACCTGGAGATGGAAAGATGGATTTGTGCCTTTCCCAATGGTATTTGTGTGAAAGTGAATGCCAGAGATAATTAAATCTGTCAACCATTTAAGTGTTTCTCGAGACTCCTAGAGACTAAATTTTTTAAATTGATTCAGATCCTCTCCTGTGTGTAAATTTTTTCTTCCCCCCACCCCAATATTTCTCTTAATTAACTCTTTCGAATTTATTTTATTTTAAAATTCGAATTTTGAAGATTTTCTTTTTACTCCAATAGTTGGGCCTGAATATGATGAAACTTGACTCGTTGATTTCACTTTTTTCGCTATGCTACCCTCATATCTAAAATTAATAATGTTACCGCTCTATTACTGTTATTATTACCTCTCTAGTGTTTGGTTTTTTGGGGTTTTTTTTTTTTAATGATGATAAAGAATAAGATTCGTATCGTATCACTTTTTTTTTACCTCTGTTAATCCCAGGGGAGGTAAACCTATCTCTCTTCGTCTGTGACATTTCAAGTGGCTCACATTCGCCTAAAAACTTCTCCCCCTTCTCATGCCAAAAAAGATTTCGACACCCACCTCTTCTTCTTAACTTACATTGTCACTTGCCTCTTGCTGTGCAAGCGTGAATTTATCTCTCCCCACCCATCCCTTCCTAATCTCTGACTCGTGATGCTTTCACTGCACGGGTGTCAGTCCATATGCAAAAAAAATGTACCTACCTGGATGTATAATTATGAGAAATATAGTTACTTCCACTTTTTGTCTTTCATTTTCCAACTTGAAATCATTGAGGCATGTTAATTTCAATAATAAATTTAGAAAAAGATGACAACGAAGATTTGAATGAAGAAAAGAATTATTCTTTCTTTTTTCTTAGAAAGAAAAGTATTTTCTTGAATTGAATCTAACTTACCGAATGAACCTGAACAAACTTGTCAAGTTTTGTATTTAACAAGAATTAGTAGAATAAAACTAAAAGAATGCAAAAACGACTTACGTTTTTTGTATTATCCTTAAACAAAAATTCATAAAGTGTGAAAATTCCTTTATTTTTTAAACAAGTACTAGTGTAAATTGTTCTTTTTCTTTAAAAAAATCTTAATTCAGGACGCATGATTATTGACAACTTTATCTTGGAATTTACAAGAGAGATTCTCTAGATTTTTTTCTCTTAGTTCACTCCAAATAATATAAAAAGTTACTTATCGCAAATATTAATTAACCCCAAGAAATTTTAAATCAAAGTTTGTTTTTTTATTAAATTTTTAGCACCCTTTTGAAATGATAAATTTTTAATCAAAATTTGTTTAGTTTGCCTCGCAACAACTCCAACCCTCAAAATGAAAAATTAGCAAAAATCACCGAATCAGGGAATTATTCACATTTCTTAAGTGCGGATGATATTCGAGGTACTTACAAGGTATTCTTCACAATTAAAAAAAAAACAGAAAATCTCTTTTTTTGGCTTATTTATCGGGGTGAGCGCAAATGCCGACCCCAGATTTGGGGCGATCCGAAAGGTCAACCCAACCGGAGTGTAATGGAAGGGCCTCGCTCTGGTAGAATTTGGTGTGATTTTAGTAATAAATCCTTTTTATTTTGGGGTGAATTTAAAACAAAAGATCCGAGATTCTGATTCTTGCAAGTTGATTATAATCACTGACTTTTTTTGTTGTTGTTTCAGTGGAAATAACAAACACTGCGTTTTTAATTTCACTTCTAAGAGTTTCTCTAGAGAGGGAAGGAAACTAATTTATCATCACTCTGTAGTGTAAAGTGTAGAGGATCCTAGACACTTGACTAAACTTTTGGAATTGATTCAGATCCTTTTTTTTTTTCTTTTTTTTTTTTTTTTGGCGTAAAAATGTTTTTCAACATTTGACTGCTTTGAATTTGTTTTATTTTAAATTTACAATTCGAATTTTGATATTTTTTGCGCCAATTGTTGAGCTTTTGATAGGGAGCGGGGGGAGTATATAGCTCAGTTTGAGTGTGTTTCTCTCATTCTAATTTGGGACTCTTTTGTGACGGCATTGATTTAACACTGTACTTTAGATATAAAACCTCTTTCTTTCCCCTCGTTCAATTTTTCTTCAGAAATAACTAATAATTTGTTTTTGTCCAGAACAACATTAAGCTTCGAGAGCCTCTCCTCCTCCTCGTTTATCTTCCTCCTCCTCCTCCTCTTCGCCTCTCAACACATCTACGTTCTGCCGATGTATTCAGATGGCATTTTCTCTAACCTCTTTATATCTGTATTTACACTTTACAGAGTGATGATAAATAGTTTCCTTCCCATCCCTCTCACCACTTTACCCTCATACTCTCTCTCTCCCTCGTGCTCTCCCGTTTTTAAAGGTCAATCTTGATATGGATCAGATGTGTTACGGTAAACTCGCTCCCCCCACTTTTTTTTAGGCTTCCTCTCTCTCTTCATTTAATATTCAGGTATTTCCTCTCTGTTAATATCACGTTGCTTGCCCTCCCTTCTTTGTCTTTCTCACTTTGTCATGTGTTTTTAACAGTTTCCCCATATCAATATCTTTACTCCCTGTGCCCCTGTCTTTCTCTTTCTTTGTCTGCATGCCAGTCTCTCTCTCTCTCTCTCTACTTACCTATGTACCAATCTCTCTTTCTACCTGCGTGCCAGTCTCTCTATCTCTCTTCATTTACTCTTTCTCTAGCGGTCCCTCTCTCTTTGCATGTGTACTCCCTCTCTCTGTCTCTACCTGCATATCTGTCTCCCTCTACCAACGTTCTTCTCTTTACCTCTGAGCTTTTATCTTTCAGCTCTCCCTTGGCCTACTCACCTGCTCGCTCTCTAGCTGTGTGTGCGAATCTCTTTCTCAGTGCTTGTGTGTGTGTGTCTTACTCCCTCTTTACCTAACCCTCTCTCTCTTTGCCTGTCACTCTCCCCCTCTCTATCTGTCCGTGTCTCTTTCTCTCTCTGTTTATGCACAACTCTCTTCATATTCTCTCTTCCTGTTTGTTGCTCTACGTCTTTCTCTGTCTTTGTTCCACCTCTATGAATCACTTAGTCTCTTTCTTTCTCTCTATATCTCTATGAATCACTTAGTCTCTTTCTTTCTCTCTCTATCTCTATGAATCACTTAGTCTCTTTCTCTCTCTCTATATCCCTATGAATCACTTAGTCTCTTTCTTTCTCTCTATATCTCTATGAATCACTTAGTCTCTTTCTCTCTCTCTATATCCCTATGAATCACTTAGTCTCTTTCTCTCTCTCTATATCCCTATGAATCACTTAGTCTCTTTCTCTCTATATATATCCCTATGAATCACTTAGTCTCTTTCTCTCTCTCTATATCCCTATGAATCACTTAGTCTCTTTCTCTCTCTATATATCCCTATGAATCACTTAGTCTCTTTCTCTCTCTCTATATCCCTATGAATCACTTAGTCTCTTTCTTTCTCTCTATATCCCTATGAATCACTTAGTCTCTTTCTCTCTCTCTATATCCCTTATTAATCTCTCTCTCTCTCTCTCTCTCTCTCTCTCTTTACCTATTTTCTTCCACTCTTTTACAGCATTGTCCTTGTCAGTCTCAACCCAATTATTTATTTTCTAACTTGCAGATGGCAGCTATCAGTGTTAAATGTTACTCATTAAAACAGAAAAAGATAGAAAAATAAATAATTTTCACATGTGTACAGCTCTTAGATATACAATATAATCAGACGTTTAAGACATGCTGTATATGATTTGAAAACCAGATGTAGAACAAAAGATCTCTTCCTTCATATATCCACAAATACATAGATATGCAATTTTATTTTTTCCTAATAGCAAGAATTCTTCTTTGTGCTTTCAAGATGTTGGCAATAACTTTCCTGTCCTTTGTAGGTCTGAGTAAAAATTTGTCTTTTCACCATCTCTCTTACTCCCTTTTCTGCCATCTATTTACACGTTTGTTTAACACTGTCTTGCCTTCAGTATGTCCTATGAGTGTCAAATTCTCCAAGCCCTCTTTCCTTATGTGTCATGGAAATTTCAACTGTTTCTTTCTAATTCCAAGTGTCCATTTTGATCCATTTTTTTTTTTATAAAACTTTGTTGTTACTGACATGTTTAGTTCATCCTTCTGTAGAACCACATTTCTTTTGCTCCAAGTCTTGTCTTCATAAGAGATTGTCCAGAATTCACAGCCATAGATGAGGACTGATATTACATAACAGTTCAGTAGTCTTTTCTTTGTTCTTAAAACATTTTCAGTTTCTTAATACTTTGTTTAGCTTTTGGAAGGCATCTTTTACTAATTGGTGTCACATTTTTCATCTTCTGTTAAAATTCTTCACAGATATTTAAATTTTCGTACTTGTTCGGTTTGAACTATTAAAAATTTGTGGGCTTACAGCAACATCATGTTGAAACATCAGTTACCGTATGATCATTGAAGTTAAGCCATATTGATCCTGTTCAGTAACCACTTGTGAATACCAGGTGCTATAAGCTTGGATGTTGGGGTGATGTAATGGATAATGGCTCAGAATTGTTAATCGGTGAGCTGAGTTCCAATTAATGTTGGGTTCATTATATTCAGTTAAACGCAAATACACTTGAGAAAGGTATGAATCCAACTCTTCTCCCCACAGCTATAGGTTAATTAGTAAGACTTGTATCACTAAAACCATTATTATTTCAAAAATAAAAATTCTTACAATCTAAAAATATTTTCTGGCTTTAAATAACCTGCAAAGAGTTGATAAGCCATAAAAAAAAAACAATCAATCAACAAATATGTGTGTGTATGTACATATGTATGTATGTTTTTTTTTCACCCCAAGCAAGGCAGGAGCGCCACTAGCACGCATGGGGTTACAGAGAGTAAGAGCAAGAGTAAAGAGGGGTGTTTAAAGAAAGGATATAGAGAAGGACTGGGATCTGGATCAAGGCATCAGAAGATGTTGATTGACATTACATTTGAATATTTGAAGATTATAGCTATCAGGAAAGGAAGTTGGAGGAAGGGAGTTCCACTGGCAGGAAGTGCAAGAGAAGAAGCTGTTGGAGTAGAAGAGGTGGTTACATCTATGTTTCCACATATTTTCTTGAAGGTAACAGACAAGACAGGTCAATTATGCTTTTTTTTTTAATCAGTTTTTACATGTTGACCAAATTTTGCTGTTAAATGTCTCTGGGAATTGTCCACATTTCATCTTAGTTTTTGTTCAGGTTCAAGTTTTGATTGACTTCAGTCATTACCAAGAAAAAAACAATTTAAATATCTGTCTCGTCTTTGTGATGATTTTGAACGTTTTGAATGTTTGTGATATCACATGAATATGATGTGATTTTTTAGTTTTAATCCTTTGTGGTGTCACATCAGCATGATGTAATATGGATTCTGAGAATTTAAATCCGTTCTGGAATGACTGTTTGGAAACAATCACTAAACAGATTCTGAATTTCATTTTATTTCTCTTATTCTCAATAATGACAGAAGTCACTCAAAAGCTTGGAACTTTAACAAGAGCTAACATGAAATATGAACAGTTCCTGTAAACTTTTAACAGCAAGATACAACATTTAGTCAGTCAAAAGATACTGAGGAAAAAATCAGGAATGCATAACATTTTAAAGCAAGACAATGTTATATTCTTTGAGAAATTTTTCCCTAACTATAAGTACATAGCAAGTCGACCCTATAACCTTGGTTGGCCATGAATCAAGGAAAATGGAAACTCTGAGCCTGGAGAAGATTGGGCTCTGTCAGGCTATCTTACCCAAGATACACCATTTCTGCTACAGCTGCAGTACATGTGGTGTCTGTACAACTCTAATGGGTTACAGGACTAGTGATCATAATTGTGACTTCTGTAAAAGCATGCAAACATTCATTATTAGACTCATAACCAACTGTGGTCATACAGTCACAATGCAACTGAACCCCTAACCAGCTTCCACTTTCTTTCTTAGTGCATGCCAATGTCTGAATCTCAGTGAATGATCTTTCTGTCAACCTATTCTTTCTTCTGTCTGACTTTTTATTTTTTGCCTAAGGTTGTACCTTGTAGGATGGCAGCAGAAAGAATTGTTGGCTCTTATGGGGTTCTCATGTCATTACCAATTTTGTATTTGATCCATGCATCAAGTGCATTCATATTCAAGATGCAATACCAAAAAAAAAAACAAATGCAAATGTGAGACAAGAAGAGATGAAGATGAGTCTTAGTTCATAAAATATTCTTGTAAAAAATCAGTCGGCAAAAATATGAAATATTTTTTCTATGGAACAACAGGTATGAAGTATTGGTTTCTATGAAAGTCGAAATCATTTGGCCTTTTCTTAATCAACAAAATGAATACAGAAAATAAAACTGATTACTTAAGAATTTGAAACTGTACTTGTACATATGTAAGGCAATCAAGTTCACAGCTTCTTGATGAAAAAATTTATTTTACAGCATAATCTCCTCCTTTGTCAAAGCATTTAAATCAGTGGTGATTAATAATTGCTTAAATTGAACAATATACAGTGAAAATTTCAGATCAAGATTCAATACTAACTATATACCAGGCTATAAACTTATAAATAATTTTCAAACTTGAATATTAAGTTTTGTTTCTCATTCTATGATAAAATGAATATTTGCTTTTTGATTCATTTATTTCTGCAGAATAGGTTTTTCTTTATTTATTAAGCATTTGCTAAAATTACTGCACTTTAATATGTCTACATGTATTTATCAACATTTTTTTTGCCTTGTGCCATACTAGGCCCAAAATATAAGTGTCTGTGTGTTTTACAAACTAACCAAAACTCCATAACATGATTGTATTAATTCATTATAGATTTTGTGTATTAAGAACTTTTTGTGATCTTATTTTCTAAGCTATGTTTGTTGCAGAATAGTCAATACATTTAGTCTATAAAATGTGTATGCAAATGTAACGATATTATCGGACAGAGATAGTAATTCTTAATTGTTATACTTTTATTTATTCATTTTTTTTATAAGTTTGTTTTTGGCTTCATTAGATCCTCATCCTCATCAATCATTTTTTTTTATGAAATGTATTTTCAAATTACTTATTTCCAATTGAAAACCTCCTGAACCAGTTTTGAGTAATATGGCCTCTAACTTTACCTTCAAAGACTGTCCATATTCCATAAGCTGCTTTTAATCCAAGTTTTAAATTCATGCAGTTGAAAAATTCTTGCAAACAACTTTTGGGCAGCCATATTGATTTCATTCATTACTAGTACAGATATACATTCCCACAGATGTATTCTTTCTTTTTTTCTTTTATTATAATTATTTTTCTTAGGATTGTTTCTGACCAGATAAGTAAAATTATTTTCTTTTCCTTTTTTTTGTAGGTAAGTGAAAAACATTTCTAATTCCCTAAACCAACCAACCAATCAAGCATGCACTTTTAAAATATATATGAAAGGTAAGTTATTATTTCTAACATAAAAGATCACCATGAATATGACACTCAAAATATAGTGACTTATTTGGTTTGATCAAGAGTTTCTTTGTTTTTTTCTTATATTGTTATTTGTAATACTTTACTTTTGTTATTTATTGAGTATGGTTGCAAGAGTAACAAACAAAAACAACACAGTATTGCTGGTGAGTTGGAAAGAAAGAGACAAGATATATTTAAATAAAAATGATCTGTACTGTCAGTATAATGGATCAAGGTTGAATGTCTCTTTGTGGGCAAGGAAAGTAAGATGGAAGAGTTGGCTGTGTCCTGGCCTGGCATTGAATAGTGAACTCTGTGAACTACATGTTTATTACCTTGAGTATCGCGAGCAGGTTCTTTTAAGCAGTCAGAGTGGATACTTGACAAAGTGCTTTTTATCATGCTTTTGCTTTAGCAGCAATGTTTATGATTATCTCTAACATTTAGATTTTATTTTATGTATTGGTGGGGGTGGAGGTCTGTTTTGCGAGCTGGATGTGATGCCCAGACCTCCTGCACAGAGAGTGACTTTTGTATTTTTAATTTTAGTTTCGTAGCAGTCACATCCAGCTGACAAGTTTTGGTGTGGGGTGAATTAAAATGTGACTCAGTTTGAATCAGAGTAAATGGCTAGATGTAACCGTAAGTTCTTGCACTTCTCGTTGTTCTTAATTCCTGTTCTGTTATTTGTCTCGCTCCTCAATAGTATTTTTCTGATATTCTTTTACACTAAAATAACCTCTTGCGTGTTAGTGGCTTTGTTGTCTTGCTTCTGGTTAAATGGTTAAAAACGAGTATAAAACTTCATAAGTATTATCTTTGATGATCAAGTAATAATGATACCTGCAAAAAATTTTTAATTAATATAACGTTCACTTAATAAATGACTGACATGTTTGTTTCAAAGAAAGTAAAAAAACAAAAATGAATTAAAAAAGATTTTGAATGTAATTTATTTTTCTGTTTATATTTATGTCTGTCTGGACCCTTTCTTTCACATGGAAAGTGTTCAGATGAACTGCATTCCTTAGTTCCACCAGTTCTAATCTTCGCAGCTAAGTCCCAGCCTGCCACACCCATTGTAGTGAACCATCCTCATTCCCTTCATATTCCATTGGTGAGATGTAACTTCCACTCAAGCAGCAGCTTCTCACA